ATTTTCATTGATGTTAAAATATACTAGGGTATTCTTTTTAGTGTAATTTTTCCTGCTGTTTTGCTCTTTACTGTGGCTGGACTGCACCTCAGTTGGGGAGGGGCATTATAAATAAATTTTTTGTTTCCTTATTTGATACAGCTTCTACCATTTTGAGGTAGAACATATGTAAAGTGTAAACTTTAAGCAAATACAGAAGGTAGAATCTCCCATCTCCCCAAAAAAATATTTAAAAAAGAAAATCCTGGACCTGCGCACATGTGTGAGATATGTCCCCATTCACTTTTCACCATCATTATATTCACTGTGGTCCTTCCCCCCCCCCAAGTATATGGACTGTGTCTCCTAATCATAAAAAGTTTGCTGTGAAGAAACTAGCATAAATATATTTGTACTGTATACAGTCCAATTGAATTCTGTTGAATAATTGATTGAATTATCCATATAGTACTCTAAATCATAATACCTACATTCCTACATTACATAATGCTACATTATGCTAATAACCTGTTGTAAATTTGTTTAATTTGGACTAGGGTATCCCATGAGTCCATGTAACTCTTTTCAAAATCATTGCTTCTGCCTTAGCAGAGTGTGTGAACTCAGCCAGCTGTGGCTTGTTAAACAACCCATGATTAAAACAAGCCTCATCCTAACACAAATGTCTGAACCTGGTCACTTTTGGATTTATCTGGAGTCTCACGGTTTTTGACATTTTAAAGCTAAAGCATGATACTTGAGAAGGAGGAAAAGCTTAGCAAGTATTGCATGTTGTCTTCCTTTGCATATTTGCAGGATACTAAAATGTGTGCGCAGATGAATTTTCCAGCTCATGTCTTGGAATAATGCTGGAAGTAGTTAATCACCGAGGCCCATCTTTTTACAGTATGAAAGGAGGTAAAAGAGAGAATGTCCAAATGAGATGTCTCTTCTAGCTATATATCTTTCTTTTGACTCTTCATTTTACTGATAATTTCCTTCTCTAAATATTACTGTGTATGTTAGATAGATTTATTGTAACCAAGGCATTTCAGTTTGGTTGCATGTTTCCCTGCTTCCAAATGAGATACATTCATCAGCACTAAAGTAGGGATGTGGTTGCCATGTAAACTAGCTCCAAAGCATAGGCAGAATGCAGACTAATCATAATAAAACTGGTAAACAGCTAGTTAAAAGTTAAAGTTTAGAATTTCAGTTTTTAAAGCAACATAGGCTTCTTTTGTACATCAGAATGTACCAGAACTCTCAGTTGGCCTACGAAGAGTTAAGCTGGATGCTGATTTTGTGGCCCAATTCCTACTTTCTCTTTCTCTCCAGATTTCCCCTCCCCACTCCAAAATGTGGAACACCTTGGCAGTTGTAAAATGTATGTGTGCATGCTCATCCTCTTGCCATGTCCAATGGCAAGTTATTATGTGGACTGACAGACTGTCATTGTTTTGATAGCTTGAGCAGTATATCTCCTGAACAGCGATAGAGCTCTTATGCAGAAAGTATCCTGTGTTCTGAACCAATTTACAGGGAAACAGCAATAACATTTTATCATGGTTGAGAGCCCCGTAGCTGCTTCCTATTAAGCTTGCCCTTTCAGATACCTGTCTTGGATTAATTTGTTGATTTCAAATGGAAACTCAGTCTTCTCCACTGAAGCATGACTTTCGAGGATAGACTCTTACTGAATGACAATTACGGTATATTCTATCTGCTTTCAGACCATTACAAGCTATGGGCACAGTGGAAGACAGAGGACTTCTACAGTAACAGATTTTTATACGCGTCTAATTCTAGCTGTCAGTTATCTACGCACCAGTAGATGAATCCTCAGAAAGATGAAATGCAAAACACCTCCAACTTGCTCCTTTTAATGATATACTTGCTACAAGAGATAAAAAGTAGGGGGGAGAGAAAAAGAAGGATCTTAAGTATCTTGAAGGAAACTGCATTGGGTGATTTTATTTTTGACCTTTTCTTCTAGAAACCAGTGTTAGAAATATATTGACTATATCTAGAACATCTGTGATTTTCAAGTGTATGCTTAATTAAGCACATTTATAAAAGTGCTCCTAGGGTATTTTTCAGCTGAGGGATACAGATTTCTAATGAGGGATTCATCTACCACTCCACTTTGCTCTGAATTTCTGACCCTGGGCATCATTGCATGATTTCACATATGGCTTGGACATGTCTTGTCCCTCCCCCCACCCAATTAACAAAATCTCTTGAGATTCCTATCCTGTGAAATCTCACATAAGATTTCAATCTTCTTACACAAAATCTCAGAAAATCAACCCAAAATTAACATGAGATCTGGTCATATCATGGGACTTCAGCCATTTTTTTTAAAAAAGGAGTGAAAATCTGGGGGTTCATAAGCAATATTGACAGAATATGATAACTGTTTTGTTCACCATGGGTATCATGTTGTTTAGTCCTGCAATACAGTATAAGCCTTACACTTCAGCATCTGAAGTCCTTTTACAATGGAATTTGGTTCTGGAGAAAGTATGATGTCAAAACATTTAAACTCTTAATGTGGTAACTCAAAGTATCCTGATACCTCCAAGTGCTTCTTAATTTTCAGGTCACGCTAAATTAACATTCTGGTCCGCTAATCTACATATGGATATCTAGCTATTTCTTATTTAGTTAGTTCCTTGAACTGTGTTGATATGGAGTTGTTGGGAGTCGGGCGGCATACAAATTTAATAAATTATTATTATTGCTAAGTGCAGAGCATTTGGGAGCCAGGCAGCCTATAAATTAAAGAAATAAAATGTAAACAAAGGGCCATTTACAAGTAGTGTATATACATTTAAGATAAGGCTCCTTTTGTGAGTATCCATCCTTAACTTGGCATCTGTTTTGTGTTACTGGAGCTGAACATTAAGATTGCATCTCACATCCACTGGTCCATTTCAGTATGCTCTTGAAAGGTATATCCATCTAGACTATCAGATAGAACATATGCTTCCTATTCACTTAGATAATCTTCACAAAGACTCCTCTAGGAATTCCATTATCAGGGATAATGAAGAAGTGGCAATAGGGGAAAAAAGCTTTCCCAATTCTAGTGCTTCATCCATGGAATTCTCTTCCCCGCAGAGGCTTTCCTGGAATATTTCTGACATCTGAGAAAGAGCTTTTTATTTCTGTCTCTCTTTTTACCATTGGAAGGAGATTTTTATTAATGGTAATGTCAAAATCGGTCTTGCAACTTCTCAAAAGTTTTCTGCACCTAAAAAAAAGACTTCTATTTTATTCTCTGGAATGTTTTAATGAATTTTTATTGGTGTTGGGTTTCAGCTTACTTAATTGAAAGACGTAGTGAAGAATACTATTACTGCTGATATTTTCTGTTATAGATCTTTCTGTCATGCTGCACCCTCTCTGGCTGTCCAATCTGAAAAAACCCAATAGAAGAAATTCTCTAAAAATGTTTTCTTTGGGGATTTAATTGAAGCATGACAAGCAAGAGAAACTCCAGACTATTTAGTTTATTGTACAGTGAATAATAATGTTCATGCTCACTCTTTGGCTACGTTATAATTCAAAAAGCATGAGAATACCGTGTTCCACTCAAAAGAATTCACTAATCTTTTGAAAGAAATTTCAGAAGCAATTTCTTGTCAGAATTTTTTTTTTCAGAATTGGTAGGAAAAATGACAGAAATTTTCTGGATAGCATTTATTTTTTATTATGGATCTGACTTTCTATTTTATATTGATAATTGTTGTAAAGCACCCTGACCAGTGAATGGTACTGTTGATTGTGAACAGTAACAACAAGGTGTAATAAATATTTTAGTACTGGAAAGAATAATTGGAAATCAAACCAGAGCCAGCACGTGTACGTGGTAGAGAAATAAATGGTTAAAATAAGGGGTAACACCATTTATTGTTTCAGTATTTCAGCTTTGCTTCTTTTTATATGGCATGCTATAAACATAGTGACTGATAAATCCAGCTTGTTAAAATGAAGAAAATGTTACTTCTGTTGCAAGCAATAAAATGGTCTGGTGAAATAAGTTTTCATTTTAGCTTTACTTCCATTCATTAGTATATAGTATTAATGGTACTATAAGTGTAAATGCCTTGCTTTTTTGTGAAGTAAATTACAAGTGTATGCATTCAGAAGTAAGTGCCACTGAGTTCATTTACTTTCTTCTGTGTTCATATGTAAGATTGCATCCTAAAACATTTCCTTTCTGTGATTATTTATGTCCATCTTTTAAAATGTCCATGTTTATGTAGTTGGTTACATTTTAATTTTTAAAAGTTCTTGCTTTTCATTATAATGAGTATAATTCTTAAAAAATTGCGCATGTTTAAGCTGATAGCCACAGTCATGTGAGAACATGCCAGATTGTTTAAAAAAGAAAAGCCCAATCTGCTAAAATATTTTTTACTATGTTTTCAGTCTGTCTCAAACTGCACTGGGGTTTGCGCCGTCAGCTCGGTGATGGCAATAGAACAAATGATGTTTCTGCTTGGACAAGCTTTGTTTTATCAGGATCTGTAACCTTCTCAGCAGCTGACCCAGAACTGTAATGCATGTCTCTGAATAGATAGGGAACATATGTCACAGTAGACTTACTTCTTGAACATCAGAATATAATAACTGTTTGATAAAAAGAAAGTTTACCGTAAGAGAATTTCCTTTTGTCTTAATAGTAAAGTTGAATGTAGTAGCTTATGCTTCTGACAATACCTTTTGAGTCATATTTCCTTATACAGAATGACCAAAGGGAGCCATTAATTCTGAAGGATCTTTATTTTGTGCCTGACAATTCATCTAATAATTAGCATGCATGAACAGTATAGAGGATTGATGACCTTAATTTAAAGAAGGGTCTTCCTCTCTCAATATCATCACTCTAGATCATTTTTCAAGTCTTCCAATAAATGTAGAGAAATGACAACATGGTCTCAACATATAAAAATAAGTCATCCATGACATGTGCATTTTGACATGAACACTTCTCTTCTTTTGACCTTTGACAGGTTAGGGCTTGACCCAAAGCTTCTGGCCAAAATCCTAAATATGAGTTCAGGCCGTTGTTGGTCAAGCGATACATACAACCCTGTGCCAGGAGTAATGGAAGGGGTACCTTCTTGTAATAATTATCAAGGTGGCTTTGGAACAACCCTTATGGCTAAGGTACGTATCTACATATATACAAAAATAGCATATATTGGTGTAATAAACTGACTGACTCTTAATGAACAAAATGTTTCAGTATTTCCTTCTGAACTCCAAGGTAGTATATAGAATTTTCTCCGTTACACTGACGTGCCCAAGATGTTTCTTTAAATTTATGGCTTGTGACTATTCTGCTTAGAGTAGTTAATAGCACATATACACAAACACATGCAGTTTTAATGCATTTCATTTGCGTTGTGCAATAAAGAAAAATTAGCTTTTCTTGAAAAAACAGAATAAAAGGATCTCTGTAATGGACTATTTAGATGCTTTTTTGAAGGAGGCATGCCTTCTTCCTCCTTTACATTTGTCTGTGACAGACAAAACCTTTATATTCCCAGGTCTTTTTATATAACTGGATGATTTCACTCTGCTTGTTTAATAGATTTTTCTATTTTTATTTGATTTATATTTAATGTGTGTGTATGTGTGTGTTTATTTCATATTTTGGGGAAGTACCTTCAGAATTTTCTCTAAAGGGGAAAGCAAGAAATGTTAATACAAATGCTAAAAATATTTTTTTAAAATCCTTAACAAATGTTAGAACCTGGGATCCACAGTGTGGCATCACAGAATGCCAGTATGTCCACAGATACGTCCTTTATTGCCCACTGTAATTATTCTTCCATCTAAATATTTACATTTTTAAATGTGTTTTAATTTTATAAAATGGGAAGTCAGGATGCTGCTAAATGCCAAACTCCAAAACGGACCCATAACTTGAGGGGTATCTGCAGCTCAGTGCTTTGTTTAAAATATCCCTGTCTGCCCCGAAACGATCCAAGGTAAGCAGAAGTAGCAGGGATAACCTTATGACATGTCTAGTAGGAGTTAGCAGAGGACATTTTGATAAATTGGGGTTTTGTATCAGAGGTGGTTCCCATTTTGAAAATGGAAAAACCTTCCAGCAGCCATTGTATAAGAGTGTCTGCAACAAGTTATCAAAGATCCCAATGTGCCTACCAGGCCCAAAAGAGTCTCCTGTGCTAAACTCCAGGTTCAGAAAAATCAGATGACTCGCATCCCAAACAAAGTATGCTGCTTCTTTCCATATAGCTTCCTAAACCACTTCAGCTTTTCAGTTTGAACAACTTTTAGGAAGTCTCACCTTGGAGCTACTATGGGAATGTTTTGCTACGCCAGTCCAATTTCTGAACACACTCAACATGAGAACACTTACCCTGCTTCAGTACTGCAGGGTATTAACTTAAATTCTGTGGGATCTAACTGGGTAAAGTTTGTCATGTTAGTCTTCTACAGGTTCTGTCCTAGGCTTTCACAGAAATCATGCAGCAATTACCTGCTTGATTGTGCTTCTTAAACAAAATGAGTAATTAGATATAGAATCAGAATGGGAGCTGGAGGGGTGAGAATATGCTGAAGTTGTTTCAAGCAGGGGCTAAATGGCTTTGTTCTTGAGGTTTCCTATCGATGTAGGGGACAGAGGGAATGGCCTTGAGGGACAGAAAGAAGAGCTGCTACCAAGACGATGATTAGATAAAAGGGAACTGAGTCCAGGGCAGGAATGTAACCAGACTAAATGTCTCAGACAAACCCCTCCCTAGTTCTCACAAAGACAAAGGGAGGGAAGAGAAAGCACATTCAGACTTGCAAGATTCTGTTACTGTAGCTTTATATGCCATTGGATTCCTAGTCTGATCTACCTTGAAGGCTGAGGATCACATTGCTTTCCTTCAGAGATATGTCCATTATTCCAGCTTCCTCCAAAAATGATTTTGCTACACAAAATGGCATAGTTAAACTAGCAGCTTCAGGCCTTCTGGAAGGGTAAACTGGTAGCTGCTCCTTGAATCTCTGGTGGGAGGCTATTCCAAAGAGCTGGGGTGGCTACCGAGAAGGTGCGCCTCCACCAGATGACAGCATTTAAGGGAAGAGATCTGGAGCATACCCACCTATCTGACTTAGTGGGATGGGCCGATATCCTCAGGGAGAGGTAATCCTGCAAGTAACTTAGCTCTGTGCCATGTAGGGCTTTAATAGTGATAATCAGCACCTTGAATTACATTCAGAAAGCAACTGAGAGCCAATGCAGCTCCCACACTAGTGGTTAACTTGGACAAACTGTGAGGCACCCAGAACTGTGTGTGCCACTGCATTCTGGACCATTTGTGCTTCTGGATGGTCTTCAGAGGCACCCCCATGTAGAATGCATTGCAGTAATCCAACTGGGAAGTGACCATGAGGAAGATTTCCAGTTTTCAATAGGAATTTTTCTAGCTGTACCTAAATATTGAACTAGGACTATTCATATATAAACCATATAAACCATTTCCTAAGGAATAGTGGACTTGGATATTACTGTCATATTCTATAGTAGATATCGTTGTGTAATAAAAAAGAACTTTTTTTTTCATCCTCCCACTCAAAAATTTTTCCTTATTTTCAGGATCTTGGCTTGGCCCAGGTTTCTGCCACCAACACCAAGTCTCCAGTCCCTCTTGGCTCCGTAGCCCATCAGATTTACAGGATCATGTGTGCCAAGGGCTATGCTCAAAAAGATTTCTCATCTGTGTTCCAGTTTTTACGGGAAGAAGAGAGCTTGTGAAATCTTTATTGATTATGGACATTGTTAGGAAAAAAACTGTATTTAGACTCTCTTTCAGATTAATCAATAAATACATGAGTTTAATCAAAGATCATGAATCATGATCTCACCCACATTTGTCTTTTAAAGTCACAGCATTTCAAATACTGTGGGAAAAGTTATTTTTAATAATTTATATATAACTTTTTAAAACGTACAGTAGTAGGATTTTAAAAAACCCAGTATATTTGTATTTACATACAAAATGGATGACATAGTTCAAAATCACTCTTTTCCAAACTTATATCTCCAGATGGGATGGATTTTAAGTTGGAGTCCAAAAGAGTCAGGGCCCACTAGCTTGGGAAAAGTTGTTCTGAACTGTACAATTATAACTGATTAAAGAGACTGATACTGAACTTCCTAAGTAATATACCAATTTACCTTTAAAACATAATTATTATAATGAAGAATTAGTAGTGAAAATTTATATTAATTAACGGTTGCAAGTTATTTGAAATCTGGTGCTCTTATGGTTTTAAAAAGACATAGTAAAAATAATTGTGTGCATGCATGTTTAACAGTTTTCCCTTACTAACCTAATTTTATACATTTTTTTATCATTTTCACACCTTTTCAAAAGGCTCATGCCTACTTCCCTTACCAATACCCAGTTGTCTTCATATTGTTACAAATCTAAATAAACAAATCCCTTTGAAATAAATCTCAGATAATGATCAGTAGAAGAAATATCTGGGTTTACTTTGGGGGGTATTCCCTTGCTTTTATTACAATCAGATTTTGTGCATACTCATACCAATAAAAATTCATTTGAAAAGTACATAAAGAGAATCAGACCTGTCTTGCATAAACAAGCAGACTAAGTGTAAAGGTCTGTAGGTTGATATGTTCATTAAAGTTTCCATTCTTGTTTGTTAAGAATGCAGTCTATAACCATTAAAATGGATAACCACAATCCAGAATATATAAGACCCATTAATCTCCTGGTATCATAAACTGAGCTTGTGGCTATACTTCGTTTTTACAGGAAGAAACTCTTGAAACTGTGCATGAGGAGAAATAATAAACATTAATCAGAATTGCCTGATCACCATAGCTTTTAACAGAGCAGTTGATCAACCTACCAATTATGGACTCTCCTATAAAAATGTAATGAATTACCTAACAGAGTTGGGTCAGTTTGGAATATGTTCCTCTTTTTTGTTGCTGTCACCATGGTGTATTCAGTCCTAGAACAGAAGCAATAGAAACTTTTTATGATCCTTTTTATAATTAGCTATAATTATATAGATAATTTCAGATCACTACTGGGAAGGTTTCACTGTGGTCAAAATGAACAATAGGGCAGGAGAAAAATCACAGCGTGATTTAAAATATAGAGTCAAATAGATTGAAGAAAGTTCTCTACTGGTGCTGTAGATCTGACAGAGATGATGGGTCAAAGGTGATAAACACTCTTGATATAGCTGGCACATAGATACATGGAGCATTCTGGAATGTAAGCAATTAGTGTTTTCCGACTAAGAATGCTGGAAATGTGGAATGGGAGAAATTTCCTCTTTCATTCTGATAGGCAAGGCCATTAAGAGGAAAGTATAGCCTCTTAATGAAAGGTGCTTAGGATGGGGGTAAAAGACTTCTGTTTCATGGAGTGGCTACCTTACTGGGTTGAGAGGACTGGATTTTTTTTTTCCAAGCCACTACATGGTATTGTTTCTGAATTTTTTTTACAATTAGCTATGCTAGACAATCAGCTGTGAATGTGAGGTAAATTTAAGTGCTTGGTTTTCTACAGTGGTACAATCTGAAGAAGAACAAATGCCATGGTAAGTTAAGAGTCTGTCTTCTTTCAGTCCATACATTTTCCAACTCTTAAGGAGTTTGAGGAAATTTCCAAAACAATTTTGGTGGAATAGAGACAGGGAAAGAAGAGCAAGGAAAACTTCCACTGAACAAACCAAAATCTGTTGATGTGACATTGGATAATGCCAATGGCTTCAGTGAACTGTGAACCATTAAGTCAATTTATTGGGGAAGGGGGGAATCCCTTATGTGCATTTAATCTTGATGCAGTATTTCTGTTTCATTAAAAGGAGTAACTCTATGAAAACATGTTGGGATAATCCCAGTTAACTACATAGATGGGGCCTATGGCTAAATAGTTTAGCGCAGAAAAAGTGCAATCCTATGCATGTCCACACATAAGTAAATTGAGATGTCTACTCAGAGATAAATCTCACTGAGTTCTGTTCTTTGTTTCCATCCCAGGTCAACGTGAACAGGATTGTAGCTTTAGTAACTGAAGTGTCATCAGTTTTGTGGCAATAGGTTCTACTGAGAGGAAAAGAATGTCAACACAAGCTGAAAATGTGCAAATGTTAGCTTTGATATATGAACACTGATTTATGCTAGGGCAAAAGTGGCATTTCAGTGCTTTGCCCGGTATAACCTCACATAATACCTTATTTGATTTTACAGGCAGGATTATAGTTAAGGATATGCCAGACTTTTTTTCCCCTTGCCACTACTGAATTATGAAAGCAGTTTGTGTAGATGGCAATTTCAAATGAATCAGAATATAAAATTATTAATAATTTTATTATATTATAATTTTATAATAATAAAATTATAAAAGTATTCTGTGGCTGGCAGTCACCTTCAGAAAAATTGGGATGTAATCCATAATTTAAAGCAGCAGAATTGTTTTGTGCAGGATAATAGTATGGGATTATGGAAGCTGTTAGGTGAAATATTTGGAAGTGCCCTCCTGCTTACCCCAGTGTGAAATATGGTTTTATTTCTGTCTGTGAAGTTTTATGATAAGATTTTGTTGGAAATAAGCTCCTGTAGTGGCTTGCTTTTTTTTAGCAGATCATATAAATATAAAAATGGGTATTGGATGGACTTTTGAAACCCAAACTGAATTATGAAATTAGCATTTAAAATGACCACCACTAAGTACAGATCATTTCTGTAACAGGCTTATCACACGTGTGTGTGTGTGTGCGTGCATGCCTGCGTGTCTGCATTTTACAATTTATCATTTGTAATGAGAAGCACATGATTTATTAAAGATATAAAAACATATTGAGGGATACCAAATCTTAGTTTCTGCAATTTCTTTAACCTGTGATATTTATCTTTTAATATCTGGACTAAAATCTGTATACTTTGACTAATGGAATTTGTAGATGGAGTTAAAGAAAAGTCTTTAGATTACTCTTCATCTTCTCCTTGCCAATAATATAGAGTAGTCAGAGTTAATTAAGTGATGGCTACTTGTTGACTGTTGAGGTTGACTGAGCCAGGTTCCCAGAAAATCCAGGCTTTTGTGAGTAACTGTAGAGTCTATTAGTTACCAGAACATGCATGCATGTTCTTTCATTTTATAGGGCAGTTCCTATATCATTTGAAAATGTACCTGATCTTACAGAAAATAAAGGTCAGCTCACCAACTGCTGAATTACAGCGACTGTTCCACTGCAGATAAGAAAGATTACATTATCTGAGAATAGAATATGGCTCTGCAAATATTTTTCTTCCTTTCTCTACATGATCATATGGGGATCTATGACAAAGAGTGCTTTTGGATTCACTTCCTCTGAACCTCTCAACTCCAGCCATTAATATCAGGGAGACTCCATTCAAATTCATACCCAGACTGGATTACTTTGGGCCAGTTGCCCTCTCTTAGCCTATCTTGTCTCACATGTTGTTGAGCACCTGAAGAAAAAGGCAGAGCATAAAAGAAGATAGAGATGAGTCCAAATTGTGTGGTCTGTATACTGCAAGAGAGTTAAGAGTACAGGTTACATAAACTCAAGTGTGCATATGAACTACATTTAGATTTTGGATTGGGAAGGGATATAACTGGAGGTAATCTGGAGCAAAGTAATCTGAACCTTAAGATAACTTTACAGGTAATTTTTTTAATATTAAAAAAATTATAGTGCTTTAATTGGCAGTAGAAATGATAAGGAAACAAAGCTAATGCACCAGAGATACCAACTTACTATTACTGGAATGGTCTTAAATATTTTTGATCCAATCTTCATTGTGGTTTGCTTTTGTTCCAGAATTTCTTGTGAGTCATCAACAACTAATATAATCTTAGCTTCAGCACTTCAAACTGTTTAAGGTATTGATATTCCACTTTCCATTGTAAGCAAATAACATTCACAAGGAAGCTACGGAATTTTAAAATTACAGCTAACTGAACAAAATTAGTGAAGGCCTTAAAAAAAAAAAAAGATAAAGCAACACCAAAATACTGTGGTATATAATCAAAGAAAGAAAAAGAAATCCTCCTTGTTCAATTAAGATTTTAAGTAGAAATCATTAGTTTGTTTTAGTTCATGTCAAATAAACCCTTCACAAAGAGCATTCCATAATAGAAAAGTTACTGCCCCATGCCCTGGCTACCTCTATGTAAACAGTGGAATTTTCAGGCAGTTTGCACAAATATCTCCAATGCAAACAGAAACAATTTATAAGAGGTCATGCAATAATAAGTAATGTATTGAATGCCTAGGATAAATACAGGAAAAGAATAAGCCCAGATTTCCTCATACTTGCTTTGTTATTAAGTGTTTATTTTTACAATGAGGAGAGCACAAAGAAATTTGTTCAGTAGAGAGATAATAGTTTAGATTGCAAGATTTGATTGTTAATAAGATGGAGATATCTTTTGGGATTCAATAGTCTAGTTCACCTGACTAGTTTCAGTATCTTCAAATAAGCAGCATAGTATTAAAAAAATTGCAGAAACGGGGCAGAATTAGAGACTTGACTGCATCTGAAAATCTTATAACGTGTAACTTCTTATTTGTAAACTGTTGATAAAGTATGATTCAGACACCAAAAAGTCAAAGATTGTATGACTGCATGGATGCAGAGTTTAGATGCAGTAATAGATATGCGACAATGAGAATTTTAATGGAAGAAGAATATTCCAAATGTCATACTTACAGTAAATTGGTATAAGATCTTTCATTGTTATATTATTCCAGCTAAAATGGATAATTCATTTTCTAAATATTACTGGAAATGTAATGAGCCAGTCAGATCATTCTGTCACACTTGGAAGCAATGTTGTAAAGCTCAACAGTTTTGGAAAATGATTAGTGCCAGAATGAAACAAATTTTAAAAGTTGAGGTTCCATTTCAATCTGTGGTATTTTTATTAAACTTCTAGTAAACATCAAAGTATTAGCTTTGTATATAGTAACTGCTGCAATTATACTATATTACTATACTGCAATAAAATACTATATTTTATTGGAAAGAATGTTTCATGTTCTCTATGGAAGAATGGCTAACCAAGCTGTGAAAGTGTACTTTGCTGTCCAGAATAACTTAATATTTAAAAGTAAATCTGACACAGAATTTAATTCAAATTGGAAAATATTCCCAGATTCTAATTCAATACGTATGTTTGTACCACACACAAAATATGTATTTTTCTATGCATTTAGTCTATAATTCAATTTTATATGATTTCCAAGCTAGAACAGATTTTAATAACATGGAAGCAGTTTATTGTAATGCATAATTTCATTCTGTCATTTATACCATGCTGACCACAGTTTCTGATAGTGATATTTTGTACAGTTTAATAGTGATTTTCATGTGTTTAAAAAGATATATTTGGTTATTCGTACCTAATAATATACTGGAAAATTATAACCTCTGTGACATTTGTAAATAATTAAGGCTTCAATTCTGTCTGTGCTTATCTGGGAGTGATCCTTTAAAACCAGTATCTAAGATTGCAAGCATATATAGGAGTATACTAGAAAATGCACACTTACTTGAGAGTACACCCCTTTGAACTATTTACAACTTTTGCTCATCCTACTTCTTAATATTACACTAATGATAAAGCAAAAAGAATCTAGTGACCCTTATTTTTTTTTCTTTGCCGTAAGAGAACAAACATGTGGGCTATTGTGGAAATCAAACCCACAAACGAGAAAGTCTTTCCAACTAGGACTGAAATCTGAGCTATCAAATCCTTGCCAAAATGTCCAGATTTTCCAGAAGCCCCCTGAGGTTGTATCTTTGGCAGCACGGTGTGGGTTTTTTTGCTCTTATTGCCAGGACCCTGGTGCCTGGATAAATTCTGCTTTTATGACCTAATGTAGCTCTCCAGGTTTCCACTTGGATTGAAAGCAGGTTTGTGTATCTGACTGTTTTGCATATGTATACAACTGAGCAGACAAGTGGATATTTAATGTGTTGCCCTGACTCTCAGAGAAATGGCAGATACTCAGTCTGTGGTGAGCCAAAAGAATGGGAAGGGGCAGTTCTGTGTCCATGAGGGCTTGTTAAAAAATTATCCCTGGCCCAAAAAAGAAAATAAAAAAGATGCAAGGGAAAGCTTGTTGGATTTGAGCAAGGACAGGCTTTCCTTTCTTTTTCCTATAGAGAAGCTATTTATGAATAGGTCAATGCATCTTCAAGCAAAATGAACTTCCCACAATGAGTGTGTGAGAGCTGCATTTGCACATGATTCAGCAATATGTTGACCTTACCATTTTCCCTGAATCTTTCCAGGATTATGAAAAACAGAATTATGGTTCTTCACATGCAGTACACTGCAATGCAATTTGGTGGGGAAAAAATCTACAATATTTGCAGGACATGGCATCCTTTTCCTTTGCTCTTTAACCATTCCTGGAAAATCTAGATACCACATTCAGCACATCAGGGTTAAATGTGCACATGTACACACAAATGTACATGCACGCTGTTCTGCCATATTTTATGCTGAGATGTTAAGCATTACTGGGCACCAGCAAATTTGAGTTTGATAGCTTTAAACTTTATATATCCATAAAATTCACAGCAGTCATAACTGCCTTAAATAACAATGACTCTGTTCAGATTGTTAAAATGATAGTGCTTGTTTCCATTTAAAGCCAATTTCATACGCTTCAATTAGGAAGGAGATCATATGCAAGTTGGTATGAATAGCCGTTGAAATGAGCTTCTCAAGCTGGGTGGTGGAGAATATTTGAACTTCAGAGCATTGTAATTTGCTTTATAATAAACTATTTGCCAATTTAGCCCACTATTGTCTAGTGTGAATCACAATTACTTTCCAGTTACTCCCCTTTTGATCAATTAAATAGAGTTTCTGTCATATCCAGAATCTCGGGCCATCACACAACTCAGATCCTGATGCAGTTTCTTGAGATGGGGAAAGGAGCAGAAGCAAGATGTGAACTCAGCTGGTAATAAGAAATAAGGAAAGATACTGACAAATGTGTAAGTAGTCTGAGAAGAAAAACATCTCACGAAACAATGGGCAGCCCAGATTCCAGCCACATTATTATATGGAGATGAAGATCTTGAACCAAACAAGTGTCTATGAAGGAAGGATTTAGATTCTAAGAGGAGAAGTTGAGCACAAGATGGGAGATGCGAAACTATTTGCATACAAATCTCTTTTGTGCCCTTAAATGTTAAATTCTTATTTACCCTTCTGATCCAGAGATGGGAGATAACTTACTGTAGTTTAGGCCAGTTTTTAAACAAAACTAATTCCCTGACTAACACAGAGGTTTGTAACACATCATTTAGATTCTGAATGTGCACTACAGTCTTTACCTTAAAAATTACACACATAATTGGACATATGGAAAAACAGCATAGAAACGTGGTACCAAAAAGGTTTAATAATATTGGTCATTTGGTCCTGAAAAGAAGTAATAAACGCTTTGATCTTTCTTTGAAGCAGCAGTACAAGGTTAAACTGCCCTTTCAGAAACAACCAGATGCCCATAAAGGCGGATACTTTTCTTTGATAGGAAGTTGCCAAGGCCTGTCCAGCTGTGCTGGTTTGTAAACAGATTAGTTTTAAACACTCAGTAGCCCTGATTTACTTTGTTTAAAACAGTATGTTTTAGCCTATTGGCCAGCCTCAACAAGCTGTGCAATGTCCTGCAGATTTCCGTCAGCTCAAAATGGCCATTAGGTAATTATACCCAAAGTTAAGTAGACATTATTTAAGAGTGGAGTTGTTTGCTTTCCATTTTACTCACATGTTCCAGATTTTTAAAAGAAAGTCTGATAGAACATTTCTATTTGGGGCTTTCTGATGTCCAGCCATTTCGTGCTTTGAAAGTAGTGTGATTGGGAAATAGAAGCTAACATTTTTTTTAATAGAAACAGATCGCAATTACATGCTCTTTTGATGCAAAGAACAACAGCTGTATGAAGCTATAGCCTGTCAGCTGGCTAAGGCTACACAGGATGGAGTGATTCCATCACCTCTTATTGGTCAGGGGCCATAATAAAGAACCAAGCTGAACTATTTCTTCATCTTCCCCCAGTTCAAACTTGGCTTGTAGTCTGCACAACATTTCATATTCTTCACTGAAAAACAGGATTTTGTGGAGCAAAAGAAATTTAAATACATCTACCACAGGAAACAATGCTTCCAAAACCTTTTTCTTTCAACTTTCTTCAAAAGCTATTGTTTGATTCAGTAAGAAGTGACTTTCAAAAATACCAGTTATCTTGCATGATATAGAAAAACGATAGCACTATAGGACACTTTATCTCTTATTTACAATGCATCATTAAATTAGTTTCAGGCTTTCTTCTGCTCACCACTTGAGAATTTAAATGAGTGTGCTTGTGTAGTTAAATATTATTTTGTCAATGTTTGGTTTGATTTGTTTTTTAAAAAATTAATGGGCCAACACAACTGGAAACATTTAAAAAATAAATTCCTTTTCTATTTCTAACTGCTATAATACTTCATTATTCCCACCAGGGTCTATATCCCCTCCCTATGAACAAGGAATTATTTGTATACAATATATCTTTCCCTCTGTCAGATTATCATGTCCCAGTTTAGCTACTCCAGAACTTTGCTCACTTTGCTCTGGGGAACAATCTGAGCCAGGAACTCTTGTTCAGAGGCAGCTTGTATTATCCAAACTACTTTCAGCTTGCTCTAGGAAAACTCACAAGGTCTTCACAATGGTACAAAGTTAAAAGGCATACTTCCAATAAATATACTCAGTGTGAAATAAAACTTGGACTTCATTTTGATTGTTCCTCTTAACCCATCCCAGGCCTCTACACGCAAATACAATATATATCCCATATTATGTGTTGAGAATGAATACCTTTTCTTTTTTAAAAGAACAAAAGAAAGTTGAGCAGAATCTGAGTAACTGTGTATCATGAACTTCCATGAAACACTGAGCAGATTAGTGGAACAGCTATACTTCTGAAA